ATTAATTTAAGGTTTATTTTATATTGCTAACAATTTAATCTCGCTTTAAAGCAATTGCGTTTTAAATTCTGGTGTAAAGGAGGACGGCTCTTGCCTCCAGTATACGAAAGTCAGTTCTTTGTCCCTCACACACGCCTCAGGCACCTCTCGAAGGATGGTAGAACAAGTAATGTCACGTGATTTTAAGGAAATTCTCCGAGCCGCGGACATGCCGGAACCAATGCGGTTGCACGCTTTCCAGCTGGCCAAGGAAGCGCTTGAAAAGTACACGACGGAACGAGAGATGGCTAATCATGTGAAGCTCGGATTTGACGAATCCTACGGACCAAGTTGGCATTGTGTCGTGGGGCGCAACTACGGCTCTTTTGTGACTCACGAAAACGGCGCCTTTATTTTCTTCTTCCTTGGGAAAGAAGCCTTTCTTTTGTTCAAGTCAGCGTGATAATAGTTTAACAGCTGCTCGTCTATAACTACTGAGTACATGAATAAAGTGATAAGAGAATGATTTAGCAGCTTCTTACTAGAGCATGGGCTAATATATGCACTTGTGACGCGTGACTCAGTAAACTTTCCTAAACTGAAGTCCGTTTGCTACGCAATTTGTTGTTATTTACGGTAACTCACTAATGAAAGCCAATGTGTTTTATGCAAAACACTAGCATTTTGTATTTCTGGATTTTGAGCAGTGGTCAGCATTTCATTATTTATTACTTATCTCTTAATAATATGTCAGAAGCTGTCTTCTTTCTTCAGCGCAAAGGCATATCCATTTTACGACAGGAAGAACATTCGCTGCATAATTCAACTCCAACTTTCGTCTCGATGCTTCAACGTTGCTAGACATAAGCGTGCAAGCCAGAGAGTGATGTGACTCATTTTCTGTACAGTTCAGCTGTTCTCATCGAATTATCATCAAATTCTTTCGTGTAACGGAACTCCAAGAGTAAAAAACTGTTAAATCTGTATGCAGTGAGTGCCCCACATACTGAGGATCCGGTCACGGAAAGAGACGGACTTCGTCTATGGTCCGCACAATCGTCTACGGCACGTGATCGTATTGCAACCCTCCAGATATAGAGATAGATTTAATACACCGTTCTTATAAAGAAACGGTTTTTTTGTTATTCGAAAGCAGTCAAACGCATCGGATCGATTTTTTGCAGAACCTTGTAGGCCGCCGTTGCAAGTCAAAGGAGGACTCTGAAACGACGTAAACAACTAAGGCAGAAGTTAAGCAGTTTGTTTTTCTAAGCTTGTTAATAATTCAAAGTGTCATCTGACCCTGTTATGAAATCGTTGTGAATCATGCAGAACAACAATTACGCTTTTTTGCTTGCGAAGGATGTTGCCTTTCGGCACACAACCAATAAATAGGTAATTATTAAAAAATCAAGCATTAGATATCAAAAAAATTAAACAGGAGGACAGAAAACGGAATGGATCAGATCTGATCACAGGAAATAGAAATTGATTCGAGGATGCAGTAATTCTTTCTACCTTGGTGATCATGCAGAAAAGCAGCGTAAATCACAGTTTACCTGTACACGACGCGAAAGATGCTGTAGTCAGTTCAGTGAATGATTAATATGGACGTTTCGGTCCCCGTATCACGTGCCTTCTTCAAGGCAAGTTATTGGTGAGATTTTCCGAATGTGGTTGGTCGTACGCAGCAACTGACAGTCACCAGGGCCAGACGACAAGTTTTCGGTTCATGCTGCTGGTTAAATAGTTTATGGGCGATAGTTGCAGCGAAGATTCATCCAATCCGCGCAGACTTCGTATCGCTTGTTGAGGTTGACTTTTTCGCAGGATTAGATAACTAATGCCTCCTTAATGCGCTTGCGAAACCATTGTCGCTCTTTCTGATGCCGTTACATTCAAACCACCAACGGGTACGTCTTTTCTTGGCCGCATGCTCCACAATTCTGCAGGTGTTCTTTCATATTTCCTTGATTGTGATGGTTACGAGGCTTTGTTCAAAACTCCGCCGTTGCCGCTCCCAAGCACGGTTGAGAAAGAAGCAGGACTGGAGACGGTGGTAAAGTCTTCATAAGAATTATCCAACTGCCACTCATGGTATTGACGCCATCGAAAATTATACCGGCTCGGTCGTCGCTCGGGTTACCAACGGCCGTGCAGGCTGTTGGGAGACTGAGGCAGACTGCGAAAAGTCGGCGATCAGAACCTGTTCATTGCCCTCTGCCAGCCGGGGGCGTGGC